CGGAGCAGTCCTGCTCAGTGAGCCCGTCCCCTCCCCAGTGGGCACTCCCTCTCCCCAGTGGGTGCTCCCCTCCCCAGTGGGCGCTCCCCCTCCCCAATGGGCACTCCTCCTCCCCAATGGGTGCTCCCCTCCCCAGTGGGCACTCCTCCTCCCCAATGGGCACTCCTCCTCCCCAATGGGTGCTCACCCCCCATGGGTGCTCCCCTCCCCAGTGGGCACTCCCCCTCCCCAATGGGCGCTCCCCTCCCCAGTGGGCACTCCCCTTCCCCAATGAGTGCTCCCCTCCCCAGTGGGCGCTCCCCCTCCCCAATGGGCACTCCTCCTCCCCAATGGGTTCTCCCCCTTCCCAGTGGGTGCTCCCCTCCCCAATGGGCACTCCTCCTCCCCAATGGGTGCTCCCCCCCCATGGGTGCTCCCCTCCCCAATGGGCACTTCCCCTCCCCAATGGGCACTCCCCCTTCCCAGTGGGTGCTCCCCTCCCCAATGGGCACTCCCTCTCCCCAGTGGGCACTCCTCCTCCCCAATGGGTGCTCCCCCCCTCAGTGGGTGCTCCCCTCCCCAGTGGGCGCTTCCTCACTCTGAGGTGTCCCACCTCTACCCTGGCGTCCTCATTTCCAAGGATGCAATGGAGGAGGACACCACGTCCCTAACCCTCCCTCTCACTGCGACTTCCTCACTCTCTTTCCTCATTTGTTTTGCTGTTTGTCTTGAGAGGGAAACCAGGGTTACCCAAAATGTGAGAAATAGGAAGGTTCCAGAATCTTCCAGCCACCTCAGCCCTGGTCCCTGGACCACATTTCTATTCCACTGAAGCTTTGTATCGGGGCAGAGGCGGGAGCCATGTGCTCGCCCTCCTCCCTGAGGTGCTGGCTCTCCCTGTGGACAGGGGCACCGCTGAGGGCTGCCGGGCCCAGGCGCAGAGCAAGGAGCCTCCGAGTCACGTGGGGCTGCAGGGACTGCTCAGCCCCGGGCCTCTGCTCTGCAGAGAGAGGGGGGCAGATGCTCCCACTGCCTCAGCCCCCAGGGCCCGGCAGCCCTCCCCTTCCCCTGGTCCCGTGGCTGCGTGCCCGCCTGCCCGTGGCCTTCTCTGTCACCTGTGTGTGGCAGTGCGGGCACAGCGCGGCCCTGGGCAGTGGTGCGGGCACAGCGCAGCCCTGGGCAGTGGCTGTCGGGGGAGTGGAGGCCGAGGCGGGCTTTGGGGGCAGAAGAGGCTCTCCTCCGAGGAAGGAGGCCACAGCTGGGCTCGGCCTCAGGGAAGGCTTAGGGTCCCCTCTGGCTCCCGATTTCCCTGTCCCCCCGCCCCCCCCACTGTGCCCTGGGTGAGAAAGTGGGTAAGAAGCCCGGGGTGGGTCAGATAGGAAAGTGGCCCTCCCGCGGGGCCCCGTGTGAGCCCCGCGAAGAGAGAGTCACACGCTCTGTGAGGCCCCGACAGCTCCGTCCTGCTGGTCCCCAGTGACCAGCCACGCGGGCCGTGTGCTCTCAGACTCCCCCCTCGCCCAGACCAGCAGCGATGCCCCCACGGCCACGGTCCCTCCCTCTTCTCGCGGAGGGAGAAAAAGCACAAGGAGGGTCACAAGAGCAGCGAGCCGCAGCTCAGACTAAGATGTTTCATGTCCGCAGAGCGATTCATCACCGTGATGTCAGACAGAACGTTCCCGTGGATGTTTACAGGAGGGCTCAACGAAAAATTCCAGATGGGAAGCTTCTGGAACTCAGACTGGAACTCAGAGGACCTGCCACCTCCGAGAAAAACTCACCCGGGATTTTTTTCCTTAAAGAGAATTCCTGTTGCAGCGATGATCTGAGTTTCCCCCCGGGGAGGGCCAGGAACCGGCCGTCCCTCCAGCACGGCAGCTGAAGAGTGATCACAGTAGCACTGCTTTTTGTTTGTTTTTAAATATATTTTGATTGATTTCAGAGAGGAAGAAAGAGGGAGAGAGAGAACCATCAATGATGCGAGAGCATCATGGATCCGCTGCCTCCTGCACGCCCCCCACTGGGGATCTACCCCTCACCCGGGACACATGCCCTGACTGAGGTTGTGGGCTCCATCCCCAGAGCGGAGTGTGCGGAGGCAGGCCATCAGTGGTCCCCTCTCACCATTGATGTTTCTCTCACCCCCTCCCCCGCTTCCTCTCCGAAATCAATAAAAGCATATTAAAAATAAATAAGTACTGCTCCATAAATGGGCTGGCTGCCTTACAAGTCATTATACTGGGAAGTCTATAAAGTACCCTCTACAACGTGGGTGAGGATGAGGAGAGACTCTGCAGAACACGCCCCCATGAGGAAGACTGCTCCCTCGCGATGTAAAGAAAATGCTGAGTGCGATGCCATCACCCCCTGAGTCTGCTCCCTAAGTGCCTCCGGCCAAGGTTTTCTCACCGCCTCTCAGACCTGAGACCTTCCCCAACTTGGACGGTGCCTTTTTAGGCCTAGCTGGTTTGCCAGCTACTTGCTGGCTATGTTAGGTAACACCTCCGATTGTTCTCCTTGCTGAATTCCCAGACCAGAGCATAGATCTTATCTGCCAACTCCTCATTAGCTGCATTGCTGCCTTCTGAGTCTTTCCTAATGAGGCACCTCCACACACAAAACCCTGTACTTGCATCTCAGCTCCTGAGAGGCCACGTGGGCTGGTCAGAAACACATTCAGACATCTAAACTGTCAATCTGTCAGCAACCCACACAGCCCACACAGCCCCCTAGAAAACTCAGAACGGCCTGTTTCCCAATCACAAAACCTCCCGGGACACGCAAGCTGAGTGGCAGAGCGGCAGGAGACTCGCATCAGCGTGAAGGAAAGCATTTTTCGAGGGTTTGAGACCCTTGATCTGCAGCCTCGGTGCCTCTTTCAGCTGCCCTTCCCTAGCGGGGAACTCATCTCCTAAAAAATGTGCATCAACAAGGCTACGGCCGATCCAGATCAACTTATCACACGAACACAAATTGAGCTTTGCAGAACGTATGCCAGGATTCCGAGCCTTGTGGTCTGCAGGGAGGGAAATCGGAAGTGGTGAGGGCCATGAGGGAGGCCGGAGGGGAGTGGGGGGCAGGGAGCAGGAGGCTGTGGTGCCAGTGCCAGGAACCCTGGGAATGAGTGAGACTCCTGACTATGGGAGCCCTGAGGACGTTCCCTAATAAATTCAGCCATCACCCCTAATATGCCTATTTTTTTAAAAACTGGAACTCTTCACACACTAAATTGGTAAATGTACACGGATGTTAAGACCCACATTAAAAACCACATACAGAAGTAATTTGGCGTTTGCTCCGAAAGCTAGAAATTTTTTATCCTAACAACTTTTAAAAGTTCAGCTTCTAGGCAGTCGCTGTTTTCACTTTTTTACATGCGTACCTCTGGCGCCTGGGGATCTGTGAGGAATAAGTATCCAGCTGTGTCCATTGCTGAGCTACAGAAGCACCCCCGCGGTGAACGACTATATACCGACAATGGAGTCACGTTGTATTTACAGGGACCACATACTCCCCCTTCCCTCTGCTCTGGGCCTGGCCCTTCCTTTCTAGTTGTACTAATTCTTGGTAGATCCTTTCCCCTCCGGGACCTCAGTTCTACTTATGTGCTAGCAGCTCTTGTACATCATCCCCAGCTTGTTCCTGAACTTCAATCTGCAAGCTCAGTGCCTAAGGGACCTTCTCCTATGGATTTATTCATCCTGCCTAACGGTTTTTTGAGCATCTGTTCGGAGCTGGGAATTAATTCTCAGAGCCAGGAACCTAACAGGCCTCCGTCTCCACTCTCTGCTCATGTTACAGAGACGCAAAGCCAAACCACCAAGATCACAGGTTAAGCTGAGGCCGGGGAAGGGCTCCTGGGAGAAGGGACAGTGTCCTAAAGCTGCTTTGGGAAGGCCGCGCGGAGAAGAGAGGACACCGCGCACCAGCCTGGAGGGAGGGAGGCAGGGAGGACGCGAGGTCTGTCGGAGACCTCAAACCAGAGAGGCCGTTTTCCTGGCAAGCCAGCTCTCCTGTTTCCCGTCTCCGAAGGGTGCCTCATCTATCCCGGCATCCAAATAACTAACTAACAATAAATCAAGATCCCTACACTGGATGTTGGAAGCAGCCCGTTGCCTTCTCTAGCACAGAGGTGTGGACGAGGAAGCCGGAAGGCTGGTCAGCCTTGCAGCTCTGAGAGGCCAGAGCCAGCACCCACAGTCTAGTGGAGACAAGGGCAGCTGAAGCAGCCTCCACCTGTCAGTCTTAAGTCGATCCTTGCTGATGGGCTGTTACTGGCATTGCCTGTCTAGAGGCTGTGGGTGGATCCCATAGTCTCAATAAAAGGAACGGCGAGGCCAGAGCGGCGTGGAGTCCTTCCCCTGGAGTTGGGCTCCCGCCCGGCCCCCAGTATTTCCAAGTTAATATTTCCTAGTCTCTTTCATTTGCGTGCAGCCTCCTCCAGAACCCAAACCTTGAACCTGAACTCTGAACCACGAGGGACATGGGGGAGGGGGCACCCGCAACTGGACTCTTTCAGTGACTGATGCTCCGCAGCCCAGGCGCCTCTGACCCCCTGGTGCCATTCATTCCCACTGAGGACGGCAGTCCCTGTCTGTCAGGGCACCACTGCACCCTGGATCGCTCTAGCCGGCACTCCCAGAGCCAACCTCCTGCCTCCAGCCCGCCCCCTGCAGCCAGGCCGGGAGGCTGTGAGTGCAGTTTATCGCCTCCTCCTGCTCCAATTCCCCTGGTTTCTCCCAACGGCCAAACCCACACACTCCATCCCACGACTGCATACGCTGTTTCATCTGTGGACTTTTTTTTTTTTTTTAATATATTTTATTGATTTTGTACAGAGAGGAAGGGAGAGAGATAGAAAGCTAGAAACATCAATGAGAGAGTGTGATCAATCAGCTGCCTCTTGCACACCCCCTATTGGGGATATGCCCGCCACCAAGGTACATGCCCTTGATCGGAATCGAACCCGGGTCCCTTCAGTCCCCAAGCCAACGCTCTATCCATTGAGCCAAACCGGTCTCGGCTCATCTGTGGACTTTTATTGTTAGCAACCAAGAGGGTTTCAGTTCCAGAATACCTGAACTGTGGAAACGATGACTCAACGTCTGGTACAGAGAAACTGGGGTGGACAGAACTGAGCAGAGGCTTAGAAAAGGAAACGGCCCCGGAGAGGAGGAAGGTCCGACCTGTCTCTAACGGAGTAATGGGAGTGACACCCAGAGTCTGGAACCCAGGCATGAGATGAGAAAAACGTCTAACACTTAATAGCCGGGCAGAAACAGCAAAATGCCATCTGACACGTGTCAGACCCAGTGAGATGAAACAAACTTGCCAGCGCCTCGCTGCTGTGCCCAGTGGGGTTCCCAATCCTCCTTCACAGGAGCCGGTGGCCAGTGGAAATGGACAGAGCACACGCTGTGTGGAGAGGTATGTCACGGCAGGGCTTCCATCTGCTCCACATGGTCTTTCCCCATTCATGAGCAGCAGATGGAATTAGACTACAGAGCAGTTTCCAAAGAATTATGGTCCATTCTGCTCTTCAGAATATGATTTAAAAATTAAGCTTTTTATTTTCTATGCTCCTATCACTATTCTGACATTTCTACCTATGCATCTAGGAAAATTCATATCCTTTGGTAACGGTATAAAATGGAGTTTTAAAAATAGGAATCCTTATGGATATTTTAAGTACTTTATAGACATAAAAACATGCTTTCTTTTAAAGAAGTTTTATAGTTACATATAGTAATCAACTGGAGATAGCCTTAAACTGGACTGCAACTCAGTAGAGGTAGGTGTAGGTAGAGACCTGGATTCTAATTTCTGGAACTTCCTCAGCAGATGCAGCTGGCCCATGGACCACACTTGAATATAAGGCCTGAGTCAGTGGTTCTTAGCCCTGAGGTCTATTGGGATCACCTGGAAAGCTTAAAAAAAAAAACAAAACCCAAAACATAGCATTTCTAGTGGTAAAAGGTCCAGTCTGGGTACTGAGTTTCTGACTCCCAAGCAGCTAAATTTGAGAAGCTGTGGCCCAAGATGGACCGGTTAGATCCGTGGTCGACAAACTGCGGCTCATGAGCCACATGTGGCTCTTTGGCACCTTGAGTATGGCTCTTCCACAAAATACCATGGCCTGGGTGAGTCTATTTTGAAGAAGTGGCATTAGAAGTTTAAAAAATTTGGCTCTCCAAAGAAATTCTAATCTCCTGTTGATATTTGGCTCTGTTGACTAATTAGTTTGCCGACCACTGGGTTAGATTACCAGCAGGCTTTCTTTTCCCTAACTTCTATTTCTGGGGAGAAGAGCCCAGAATGAGCATTCTGCATAGATTATGAGAGTAACAGGTGCCCCAAATCTCCAAAACCTGAGAGTATGACTCATTGTCAGTCGAGTTTTTAAATTCATAATCTGGGTGTCTTCATTTATATACCTCTATCACAGGACTTAAAAACGTATTTGAAAGTTAAATATTCAAGGAGTTGTAATGAAATGACAATCTGATTTATTTTAAAGGACGTAGGTGTGTAAAAATGTGAATTTAAGGTCTATGGAGATATCTATTCCTAATTACAAATAAAAAGCTCAGATTAGCTGGGAAGTTTTAGGAAATAATTCCCAAACCCGGTCCTCACACCAGCAGGAAGACCCAGGCTCAAGAAGGAGGATGAAAAAGTTTACTTAGTGTCAGTCCCTACTTGAGGTAGGCAAGTTGATCCTGGGTTACAAATGAATTATCACTCTTTCCTCATAAGGCTTTTCCTCATTATTGCTAAACTGAGGATTATAAAGGGTCAAGCTGCAAGTACAACAAGGCTCCCTTCTTAGTGATTAGAATTGCACATTAAAAAAAAAAAAAGTAACAGGATGTAGAGGAAGTCCAGTAATAATGTGAAAACACACAGACACAGCGTTAAGTATCACTATGACAGGCCAAAAAAGACAGTGTGGCAGTGCAAGCAAATGGGTCCAGACTGGGGGACTCCTTCCTATCGCCACTCATTAGCCCTCGCCAGCCAATCAGACCGACGGTCTCATGTGGAAAAGAGGGCGCCTGGACAGATGACTGAGAGGCCCTCGCAGACCATGCTTCGCGCCGTATAAAAAACTGGTTCAGAGGCCCTCTGAAGCGACTACAGTGAACCCTAACTAAGAGACTTGTTAAGCCAATCATGTTGAAACAACTCTGGGGTTTTCTTTAAGGAAAAAAACATGTTAAATTTGCCTTCAAAAAGGGCTACTATTTGGCTATCATTGGAAATAGCCTTTTTTTTTTTTTTTTAAAGGACGGTCGGGCAAGTGGGGAGGAAGCGATCCAACACACATGGAGCGGGACCACCAGGCAGAAGCCAAATAAAGAGTGTGAATGAGGATAAGGAAGCATGAGGAGCGTTTCCTGAGGAAAACGATTTCCAGGCAGGAAGCATGGGCTTCACGATCCACCCCAAGGACACACAGGATTCTTATAAATACACACAGCGTTTCCCAGTACAGCCAACTCATGATTCCGAGGTCAAATCATCCTAATCAATGAAAGCGGAAGTGCGTGGAGATTATTCCTTTAATTTATTGTTCCGCTTTAAATACCCGTCCCGCCAGCCACAGACCACCCGCGTGACGGGTGCGTGGCCGGCCCGCGGGCACCGCACAGACTGCTCCGGCGGCTTCTGCTCCGGCTGCCGGGCAGGTGCCGGGCAGGTGCCGGGCAGGGGCACAGGGCTCTCCGAGTGCCGGCCCCGCCGTCAATCCTCCTCGGAGCTGGAGTCCTCCTGGTCCGAGAGCTCGGGGACGGGGAAGCGGAGGACGGCGGCCAGGCCGGTGAGCTGGCTGAGCTGCTCGCCGGACACGTGCAGGCTGGAGAAGATGCGCACGGTGCCCGCGCTCTCCCGCACGCTGTCCACCAGCCGCACGTAGCGGCTGCGGGCGGCCACGTCCTGGTGCCGGAAGAGCTCGTCGCTGATGAGCAGCGTGTCGATGGCCAGCGCCTCGTTGGCCTTCTCCACGTGCCTGAGGCCGTAGCAGGCGCGGTCGGGCTCGTGCTGCAGCATCTTGTAGAAGTCGTCCAGGGCCTTCACCTCCCCGGCGGCTCTGGTGTCCGCCAGGCGGCTGGCCACCGCGGGGTCGCACAGCGCCTCCTTCAGGGAGTACTTGTGTCCGGAGGAGGCGTGCACCTGCAACCGCAAGGACGTCAGACAGAGGCCCGCCGCAGCGCCATCCGCAGCCCGCGGCCCGGGGCCCGGCGCCCAGCGCCCAGCGCCCAGCGCCCAGCGCGGGGCCGGCTCTACACGCTCAGGGCCCTGGGCCTCGGTGACTGGACACATTTGCCAGCTTTTCTCACTGTCTCACTGACCATCCCCGTCAAACGAAGCCTCTCCCCCCTGACACGTGCCCCAGGTCTAAAGCTTCAGGAATAGTTTCTTTGTTGTTACTTATTTTAATCCTCACCAGAAGATACTGTTTCCATTGTGTTTTATTTATTTATTTATTTATTTATTTATTTATTTTGAAAGAGTGGGAGAGGGAGAGACAGAGAGAAACATCGATGTGAGAGGCACATGGATTGGCTGCCTCTCCTGGTACCTGCCCTTGATTGACGGGAATGGAACCTGGGACCCTTCGGTCCGCAGGCCGACGCTCTACCCACTGAAGCACACAGGCCGGTGCCCCAGAACAGTTCCTACCTACAGCCCCTGTCCTCCCCCCGCTGCGCACGCTCAGCCCCCGGAGGAGGGCTCACCTGCAGGAACTTGGCCCGGTTCTCCAGCAGCACCTTGTTGTCCGTCTTCACCGCCTGCTGGAACATGTAGTCGCAGAACTGCTCGCGCACGAAGCCCGGGCTGGCCACCAGGACGCACTTGACCACGTCGAAGTGGACGTGGCGCTGGATGGCCTGCACCACCTGGTCGTAGAAGCGCTCCAGCGCGCGGTCGTGCTGGCCGCAGTGGCCGCGGCGCTTGCGCGGGATGGTGACCTCCACCTTGGCGCGCGTGAGCGTCATGCTGGGCGTGACCAGGCACACGTGCGCCAGCCCCTCCTGCATGACCACGGCCGCCACGTCGGCGCTCCAGGCCGGGTCGCAGGCCTGCTCGATGCGCTCCAGCACCACGCTGTCCCACTGCTTCTTGGCCAGCGTGAACTGGCGGTTGGGCTCCAGCTCGATGGTGTGGTAGGCGCCCATCTTGACGTACTCGTTCTCCTGCAGGTTGGTGCCCTTCACGCGCAGCTGGCAGGCCTGCGAGTCGAAGTCCACGGCCTCCACGCACAGCGTGAGCGTGGTGCGCACGCGGCTGCTGCCCACGCTGCCCGTGGCCGACTCGGTCTGCACCTTGCGGATGGTGGAGGCGCGCAGGCTGTCGCCCACCTGCACCAGGTTGTAGGTGTGCCACATGTCCTCCGGCTCCTCGGGCACCAGCGTCACCTGGCCCGCGTTGTCCTTCTCGATGTCCTTCCGCAGCAGCTTCATGGCGCGGGCCTGGGGGCCGGGGCGCGGGGTCTGGGGGGGGGCGGGCCCGCCTAGGGCTCCCCAGGCGCGGCCGGCGGGCAGGGAGGCCGGGCTCCCCAGGCGCGGCCGGCGGGCAGGGAGGCCGGGCTCCCCAGGCGCGGCCGGCGGGCAGGGAGGCCGGGTTCCACAGGCGCAGCCGGCGGGCACACTCACTCCGGCCCCGCCATCCTCGGTCCGGGGCGCCGCCACCCCCGGCGCGAGAGGCCCCCCAGGAACACGGCCCGTGCGCGTCCCCGCCGCGGCGCCGCCCGGGGCTGATGCAATGAGGGCGCATGCGCAGCCGCGCCGCCCGCAGCCCCGCCCCCGCGCACGTCTGACGTCCGCCGGGGGGCGGGGCCTCAGCTGGCGGCGCGCGCAGGCGCAGTGCGCGGGGAGGCGCAGCGGCCAGGGAGCCTCCGGGGCGGGCGGACGCAGTGCTTTCCCGCGAGTCCTTGGTTTTAAGGCTCCAGCGGCCCTTCCCACGCCTCCCCTCTTCCTGTTTGCGGGGAGTCTGGGGGCGCCCCTCCCGTTTGCGGCGAGTCTGGGGGCGCCCCTCCCGTTTGCGGCGAGTCTGGGGGCGCCCCTCCCGTTTGCGGCGAGTCTGGGGGCGCCCCTCCCGTTTGCGGGGAGTCTGGGGGCGCCCCTCCCGTTTGCGGGGAGTCTGGGGGCGCCCCTCCCGTTTGCGGGGAGTCTGGGGGCGCCCCTCCCGTTTGCGGGGAGTCTGGGGGCGCCCCTCCCGTTTGCGGGGAGTCTGGGGGCGCCCCTCCCGTTTGCGGGGAGTCTGGGGGCGCGAGGGGGAGTGGGCGCCGGTTAAAGCGGCGAGAGCTGCCGCGCTCCGCCTGCTCCCCGCGGAGCCTCCGTCAAAGCTTCCCTAAAACGGAAAGGGGTCTCAGCGTGCGGACTGGCCCTGCGCTCGCCTCACTTGGGATGCTGCCCTGTCCGCCGCCGGGGCCTGATCAGCCCGGGGTCAGAGCAGGTCCCGGGACGGAGGGAACCCCAGGACCCAGCACAAAGAACCCAGGGTTCCAGCACCCAGGGACCCAGCACCCAGTGTCCCGGAACCCGAAGCCCAGGGACCCAGCACTCAGGTTCCCCGGAACCCAGGATCCCGACACCCGGAGCCCAGGGACCAGGGACCCAGCACCCAGGGTCCCAGCACCCAGAGCCCAGGGACCAGGGACCCAGCACCCAGGGTCCCGGCACCCAGAGCCCAGAGCCCAGGGACCCAGCACCCAGGGACCCGGCACCCAGAGCCCAGAGCCCAGGGACCAGGGTCCCAGCACCCAGAGCCCAGGGTGGCGGCCTCAGCCCGCTGCTCTGCGCGGGTGAGGGCTTTCGGGTGGGGGTTGGGTCACCGCTGAGAGCCCAGGTTTGGGAAGTGAGGAGCCGGACCCACTAGGACCCGGATCTGACAGCTACAGAATTGGTTTTAAAGTGAACCCTCAAGTCCCTCAACCTTTGCTGGGGGTGGGGCGGCTGGAGAGTTGGGGATCGCCTCTTAGAAAGCCCAGCGAGTGGAAAACGCCCCGCAAGCTCCCCCTGAGTTAAGGGCAGGGCGGGGAGGGCGGAGGCGTCCAGTGCACACACCCCTCAGCATCCTCCCCAACATCCTCAGCCTGGCTTATGGCGAGTGGCACTGAAGGAAGCTTGCCACCTGACCCTGGGAGGCAGGGCTGAAAGGAGGACTGCCTTGGACACACATCTTAGTACACAAGTCTCAGCGACCTTCCAAGTGTGTTTGTTTTATTCAACTCTGAGTGGATCCCCCCAGGGGCCCTGGCAGAGTCCCTGCACACAGCCACACAGCGGGCACTCCTGTCTGGATGCCAGAATGACAAGCTGAGCGGATCAGAGGTCACCGAGGCAGCTCTATGGACACCGTCTCAGGCAATGCGATAAGGCACCGATACTTTCTCAACCATGGTTCATTCAATTTAACAATTTAGCCTAAAAAGTGATTCCTTTTCCTTTAAAACTGCTATAATTCTATAGCAGTCTATGGTACGCTCATTCTTTACTGAAGTCAGCAAAAACGTGAGGACACGAGGCAAAGACCGCGATTTCGCTCTGTTCCTTTAAATTCTAATTTTATAGTAATTTATTGGCTCTTTGAAAACCTTTACGTCAGTAACTTTATATCTATTTTTTCTATAATATCTTATTTCTGTTAATTTCTTCAGAAGAAAAAATATATTAGTGGTGTTATTACCTCCAAAAGTTTTCAATTTGTTGCTGTTGATATACTTCTAGTGTCTCAAAAAATAAAAAATAAATAAAATAAAAAAGACGAGCTAGAAGTCAGGCTTCCTGGGTTGAAACTCTAGCCCTGTCAGTTGTTTTCCTGTTTTCCGGTAACTTCTGGCAGTGCTCAGGCTCTCTGGAACTCGGCTTCTTTTCCTTAAGAGTTGAATTCAGTAACTAACAACTGTTTTAATTGTAAAAAAGTATGCTGCAACAGTATTTAAGAAAGTAACACAATAGCCATAACCTCACCCTAACATTTTATTTTCAGTCCTGCATGTTACCTTTTGAATTGCATTCCTGCTAAGGCCCACGTGAGCTGTAAAACACCGGTACTGAGTTTAATACTTGCACACCAAGAGTCAGCAGACCTGAGTTCTGGTCTTTTTGAGTTCGATTCCAGCAACTTGAGGTCAATTCTCCTAACCTCTGCAAACCGGATGTTTTTCACTCGAAAGTGTAAATAAGGTTATCGGTCCTGCCTTCCTCATTTGACACTTTTTTGGGGTCCTGATGAGAGGAGCCCCTGGGAACACTGCAGCGCTCTGTACCGGGGAACGTCTCTCAGTGCCTGGCTTGGAGCTAGATACCCGGATTAGGCATAGCAAAGGGTGAGTGCTCCCTCTAACACGGCATCACCCTTCGGCCGTGGAAAACGTGGCTCAGCAAGGCTGGTGGGTGCATTCGTTTACACCAGCACCCTCCTCCAGGCGGCCTGAGGCCAGTGCTGCTGCACAAAGTGGCACACGCATGGGGTTACCCTCCTGCTTCCTGAGCAACGGGCTCCGCGCGGCCTGTGTGACAGCAGCAGGGCGCGGGGCTCCGGAGGGTGGAACTCCTGTCCAGACACCTAGGGCTTCGCACAGGCGGGGCTGCGTGCGTGTTCTGGGCTGTCCCCGGTCTGTTTCTGCACCGCTTCCCCCGCTGCACTAGACTCACCTTCCGCTCTCAGAGCACCTGGAAGGCCGGCCCCCAGCGCTTCCTTGCTCCTCTATGGCTTCTCTCCTTTTAAGGGCACAGAGCGCCTCTATTCATCTTTGTGCTCCTGAAGCCCAGCGAAGCAACACACCTCACCGTTATGGCATGAGGCATGAAAGAACGGGTGGGTGTTAGCTGCCTCTGGTTCAGAGCTGCTAGCCTGTCCGTCACAGACATCTTACAACTAGGAAGTCACAGGCTGCTTTACAAAGTTACTGACTTTTGAAAAGATTACTCTTAAGGTAAGTTTCTATAAATCTGTTGCAATGTTTGAGAGACCCATGGTCAGACAAGTAAAATGATTATTTTAAGCATCTTACTGAAGGGAAGCCCTTTAAAATCTCTTAGAACGGTGTGTAACAATAGTTGCTTTCATGATACACGATTGGAAAGTGGTCTTTACAGGGAGAGCTCCGGTCATGAAAACCCAGCAGTGAGTGCCATCGTTTAACCTCAGGCTGTAAGAAGGTGCCCGTGTGGGCCCCACAGCCACGCTCAGGGGCGATGGCAGCATTATTCGGCAAATTCAGTCCGAGGGGAAAGGGAAAGGGAAAGTTTACTTTGTTTAAGGAACGTGTGCTCACTGCCTACACTTCCTGCGGTTAACAATACGGACGTGCAGTTGTCAGCAGACAGTACAAAGCCTCTTACCAAATAAAACCGTACCGACAAGCCATGGTCTCCCCTCCCTGGAATAGCTGAAGTACAGTGGCTTCTCAGTTCATATTTCTCACTTGCTCTGTTGATGGATATCTACTCTTTAGAGAAAGCCATATTAATGTTTTAGCACTAGAGTGAATTTTTAAAAATAAATTATTTTATCGATTTCAGAGAGGAAGGGGGGAGAGAGAGACAGACACATCAATGATGAGAGAGAATCATGAATCTGCTGCCTCCTGCATGCCCTGCTTACTGGGAATGGAGCCAGCAACCCAGGCCTGTGCCCTTGACCGGAATCCAACTGTGACCTCCTGGTTCATAGGTTGACGCTCAACCGCTGAGCCATGCCAGCTGGGCTAAAGAGAATTAACACCCAGCAGCACACACTTTCTCCTCCTCCTAAGACTTCGCCGACTTCCAGTCGTCCTTGTAAATGAGAGAGGACGTTGGGTGAGAACTAGGCCCCTTCGCAGTGCCCTCCGACCCTCCTCCAGGACAGAAAGTCGGGGTGTGGTTATTTTCCATCCCCTCTCTCCCGGGCCTGCCTTCTGCAGGGACTGAGAGGAAGCTCTGTCAGGGTCTGGCGAGGCTGCTGTGCCAGAGGAGCAATTAGCCCCGAGGCAGAGACAAGCCTGGCTCCGGGGAGAACGGAGAGCGACAGTGCTCACCTCTGAGCATCCAGAAGCAATGCGGTTTGTATCCAGACAGAGTGTGCTTCATCCTTAACGCCGCCATTTCTGGACACAAGGAAGACGGCCAGGCAGCCTCTGCGTGTTATTGACGGTGATGATCAGATGCACAGCCCCCTGGAGCCGGGGACTCCGACTGCCGTGCAGTTGTAACTGGGCTGGCAGCTCTGCCCTTCCTCAGTGGTGGTTAAACGATGGCGCATTATTCAATTCACTTTCCATGCAATTAGGTATAAATAGGGTGGGGATATAATTAAAGGAGACAATGTGATTCCTTAAGTATTTTATGAGTTTGTCTACATTCTTTCATGAATCATTCAACACGTTATTCTTAGAGGCCAAGGCTAAGTAACAGAGATCCTGCCCTCACAGAACACACAGCCAGCTGGGGAGACAGCCAGAGGTCCTGGGTAATGAAAGCCTAACATGCAAATCACCGAACGGCGGAACAGCCGGCGGAACGACCGGTCGCTATGACATGCACTGACCACCAAGGGGTAGACGCTCAAAGCAAGAGCTGCCCCCAGCCCGCAGGCCCTGGACCGGCAGAGGCAGCGGCAGAAGGCGGGGCCGGCAAGTGGGCAGCGCCAGGCCAGCCAAGGTGGGCACCAGCGGGGGCCCCTGGATCACCCCGCTGGTTGCCCTGCAGATTGGCCCTGATCACCAGCCAGGCCTAGGGACCCTAGCCATGCACGAGCACCCTACTCGCCGTGCACCAGGCCTCTCATCTAATTACAACATGCGTGGTGTGTTACAGAAGCAAGGCCCATGGTCTCTGGGGAGGGGGTGCGATTTAGTCCAGTGGG